GCCGAGAACAGGCTCCTGCGCCACGAGCTGATGGGGCTCCTCCAGCACTGCCAGCTCCTCAGGGACACCAGGATCCGGCTGCAGGACCAGCAGGAGCAGCTGCTCCGGGAGAACCGATGTGCCCAGCTCACGCCAGTGCACCGCCGCAGGGACAACCTGCCCTGCTCACCCGTCAGGGCAGGCCACTGACCCCAAACCACCCCAAACCACCCAGCCCTGACCTGCAGAAACCAAGCAGGGAAGCAACCAAATCCTTCTGCCAGTGGGAGCACTGAAGGCTTTGAGCTCTTGTCGCAAAGATCCATCAAATACATGTATGGACTAGATCCATACCGTGGTTCTCCTTCAGTTCAGAGGAGGTGGCTGCCCCGGCCCTGGAAGGGCTCAAGGCCAGGGTTGGATGGGGCTTGGAGCGGCCTGATCTGGTGGAAGGTGTCCCTGCCCATGGCACTGGGGTGAGATGGAGCGGGCTTTTCCAGAATTCCATGAAATTATGGTTCTCAGTGCAAATGGCTCCTGCGGGAGCAACCTGTGCCTGCAGCAGCAGCTCTTGGGCTCTGCAGGAGGGAGGTGTCAGGGACCATCCCTGGGAGCTCTGATGCCATTGGGAACAGGTGGGATCAAGGTAAAGCTCTGCTCCAGGCTCTGGCTGAGCTCCAGGTGTGAATTGTTGGACCAACAGAGGCTTTCCTGCTCACTCCCCACACAACTGCCAGGGAAAAGCCTGGGAATCAACTCACACACACAAAAAAAAACCCCTAGAACAACACCCATGGCTATAAACTGAGGTGATTTCAGCCACCCCCGGGTTTGGCTGCAGGTGAAGGACTCTGGAGAATGGCATCCTCAAATCCCAGCATCCCAAAATCCCTGCATCCCCAAATCCCAGCTGCTGTAGACACGGGATCCCCAAATCCCTGCATCCCAAAACCACAGCATCACAAAATCCCAGCTGCTGCAGACACAGCATCCCAAATCCCTGCATCCCAAAATTCCAGCATCCCAAACCCCAGCTACTTCAGACACTGCATCCCAAAATCCCAAAATCCCTGCATCCCAAAATCCCAGCATTCCCAAAATCCCAGCATTCCCAAATCCCTGCATCCCAAACCCCAGCTGCTGCAGACACAGCATCCCAAAATCCCTCACTCCATCCTGCCAGGAATACAAGCTGGAATCATCAGGTTGGAATATTTCATATGCTGTGATGGGAAGCCCCAAAACTATGTTTTGCTCAAAGTTCTTTCACTGAAATAACACCTCTGCCAAGTGTTTTTCAGGGAAAACCAGGCTCTGCCAGCCGACAAAACTTCCAGTCATTTAAAGTATTTAAATGCCAGTAGTTTAAAATATTTACAAGATACAGACAAGGTGATTCCACAACTCCTTCAGCCACAGCCTTTGTTACCCCAGCTGTAATTTGTGTAATTTGAATAGAAGACGTGTAATTTGAATAGAAGTGTGTAATATCACATGGTGGAAAACTTAGAGTTTAAGGTTTAAAGTTTTTAAATTTTGCCCAGCTGCAGTGAAGCACTAAAGCTCAGCAGCACAGCTAAGGAATCCTTCTCACGCTTCACAAAAAAACTGCATAGATTTTAAAATCTGCAGTAAATAAGGGAAATTCTAAACATCTTCCTCTCACTATTGCTTGCTCCCACACAGAGCTCCCTGCCCTGCTGAGGGATCAGCTGCATCCACAACTCATGGGAACGTCATTTTAGCTCTATCATAACTGAGAAATTACCTTATGGCTGAAGTTTTTAACCCCCAATAATGAAAAGAGACAATTTACTAAAACAATTCAATTTTCCAGCATGTGGTGACATGTTCCCAGATGTGAACCACTGGCACTGCCACAAACAGTTTACTGGTTTTATTTTGCCATTTAACATTTTTTGGCACTTGAGAGGCTTGAGGTAACTTAAAGAACCACCAGCAAAGGCATCAGCAAAAGGAGGTTTGAAATAAAAGCAAAAGCACAATGAGGTTCGTAGGCAAAGATCACTCTGCTGCTCACTCAGTGGGTAAAGCACAGAGACAAAAATCTAATACTGGTCAATCTAAAGCTAAAATCACCCCAGCCTGACTCAGCCCGGATCTAAAGGGTGAAGGATCCCAGGGGAACATCCCTGGTGCGTTTGCTGCAGTGCAGTCACACCCAAACAGAGAGTTGAGGAGCTGGCAGGGATAGCAGAGGGATAAAATGTTTCCAAAATCATGGAATATTCAGGGGAGTTGGAAAGGAAGGATAGGCCTGGTAGGCCTTGGGAAAATGTTAGGCTGCGCCTGTATAGTCATTTAATGACTGTGATAACTGATATCATTAGATGCAATGACCGGTTGGTAATTGGATATAATTATTGTTTAAATGTAACAAGAATCATGAGAAATGATGTTGTGGAGTTTGATGAAAATTACAAAAATCCATGCTTGGATGAAATCAATGTATTCAACAGAACAATTTAAGTTTAATAATTAATACGTAGTTATATAACGATAAGGGTATAAAAACATGCTCATCCCTGTGAAGAATGTGTATTTCATGATTGGCTTTTCACAAGTATTAAAAGTAATAGGATATGTGTTATGTTAGAAAGTTATGCTGTATTAATTTTCTTAAGTAGTGTGTGAAATATAGTTTTAGGTTACAACAATGTTAAAATAGAAACTATGCTATATAAGATACTTTTTTAAAAAAGAGGACTCACACTGAGATAGCAGCCACAGGACACCTAAATCTTTCAGAGAAAAAGAATTTATTGCTCTACTATATTTATTGCTCTTCCCACCTTGCTCAGCCCTGAAGACATCACCAGGATTCAGAGGAAGAAGGTGACACTGACCAGACAGAATCCTTTGTTGGAATGGGAGTTATGCATCATGTATGAGGTGTATGAATATGCAACAGGCTATTGTTTTTAAGGGTTAATCCTCTGTTAACGTGTGTCCTTTTTCGGGCTTATTTTGCCCAGAAAGAGGTACCCGGACCATCCGTAACTCTTTGTTCTTATAACCATTTTATTGCTATAAAACTTTTAAAAACAAGTGATTGGCATTTTTCACAATTCTGAACCCATGTGGGAGTCAGATTTGGGTCTGTAGCCCTGACACCCACAGCTCTTCATAAAAAGAACCTGGATTTAATAATTCCGTGATTTTGTGTTCCTGAAAGCTAACAGCAGCAGGCAGGGGCAGGTACTGCATGCGCAGGAGGGGCACAGGGGATGCACAGGTGCAGGGACAGGGTTACACCTGTGAAAAACGCCAATCACTTGGTTTTTAAAATTTTAAAAGTTTAATCGCAATAAAATTATTATAAAAATAGCAATATAATTAGAGCAATAGAAATTTGAACAATTGAGATTAGGACAATACAAGACAATAAGAACAAAGAGTTACAGATGGTCCAGGTACCTTTTCTGGGCAAAATAAGCCCAAAAAAGGACACACATTAACAGAGGATTAACCCTTAAAAGCAACAGCCTGTTGCATATTCATACACCTCATACGTGATGCATGAATTCCATTCCAACAAAGGATTCTGTCTGGTCAGTGTCACCTTCTTCCTCTGAATCCTGACCTGAGCAAGGTGGGAAGAAGTTAGTTTCTTCTGATAAGGGAGAAATAAATTCTTTTTCTCTGAAAGATTTAGGTGTCCTGTGGCTGCTTTCTGGTGCAAGTACCTCATTCCTTTCTTAAAAAAATATCTCACATACATAGTTTCTATTTTAACATTATGTTATAGCCTAAAACTATATTTAACACACTACTTAAAAAAATTAATACATCACAACTTTCTCACTTAACACAAAAAATTCATTTTAATATTTGCGAAAAGCCAATCATATAATACACATTTTTCACACACTTGTGAGAAATGCCCCGGGGGCTCCAGGAAGGGCTCAGGGAAGGGTCGGTGCTGCTGCTCCTCTGCAGGGGCTGAGGGCTGAGCCCTGAGGGGCAGGGGAGCAGCCCAGGCTTGGCTTTGGTTCTCCGAGCACAGCGAAGGTGAGGGTCCCTCCCGGGAATGCCGGGCACAGCCCAGGACCAGGAGAGCTCCAAAGCTCCCAGAAGGTGTTTGCAGGTCACAGGAGAGAGGGTGGACTTTGGCCATGCTCGTTTTCCATCCCGCCTGCTTCTCTGGATAGCCTGGGCCAAGGAATCACCGCCACCACAGGGAAGGATTTGATAGGGAAGATGAGTGGTGATGTCTTTGAAAAATGACTCAGAGGGTAGAGGATCTTTAGGAGAAATGGTTGTCAATGGTTGATTTCACTCCGACCAATTTCGGTATCAGGTGCTGGGGGGACTCCAGGGGACCCCTAGGTGGGGGGTGGGGACATGTGACTGTGGGATTGGGATTGGGATTGCAGTTGTGCAGGGACACTGGGGGAGTCACAGGACTGGGACTGGGGTCATGGGCTGCTCTGGAGGAGAATGAGGCGGGAGGGGGACCAGGCAATTGTGGGAGTGGGATTGTGGTCATGGGAGGGCTGGGAGACACTGTGGGGGACAGAACGTGATTCCAGGCTTTGTGCTGAGGTTCTGGGGTGACACTGAAGAAATTAGGGAGTGGGAGTGTGTCGGGGTTGGCTGTTACTTGTCTGTGCCCCAACATGGGAAAAGGTGGTTCTGGGCAGGCCGCGCTTTCGAAGAACGAGTCTGGACTCTTGCTTTTCGGTCTTCAGTTGAGTTTATTGTTCCTTATCTACAGAGTTTTTCTGTCTGTCCAGCTGAGGTCTGATCAGCAAGACAGCCAAGGGCACTCTCTCCCGCCCACGGGGCAGTTGTCTCTTTTATAGTGAAAATTACGTATTAGATATTTACCTTCTATTTCCAATACTTTTCACCGTTGTTGGCAAGTGCACCTTCACCATGAACCAATCCACACATGCCGACATCATCCTGAACATGGATGCTAAGGAGAAGAAAGAAGAAGGACAGGGCATGCCCAAATCCCTCCATCTTAGAACTCCTGACCCCCATGTACAGGATTCCAAACCCCCCTGTACAAGGTTCAAAACCCCCCTGTACAGTGCTCCAAAGTTTTTCCCTTCACCCTCTGATTGCTACTACTATGCTACTTAAACTTTTGTGGCCCGTAATTCTTTATATAAGGTTGGCGATTTCCTCCATGAATTAAGGTCGAATTTCCAGGTGTCTTCGGCTTCCTGCCAGGGTCTCCAAGCCCCTGCCAGGGCTTTGAGACATCCAGGGCATCCAGAGAGGTGTCCTGGGTTCCAACAGGAGTGGAGCCTGGGGACAGGCCGAGTAGTGCAGGGGGGTTCAGGGAGTGACCCCAGGATTTGGGTTGGAGTCGTATGGGGGCTGAGGGACTTGTAGTCATGGGAGTAGAGTTGGGTTTCTGGAGCTCCAGGAGAACACAGTACTGTGGGATTTGGATTGGTGTACCTGGGGGCTGGGGGACATTGGGGAGGCATAAGCAACCCCAGGATTCAGGATCAGGGACCCCAGACATTCCCAGGGGTCTGCTAGCCAGGAGTGCCTCCCTTCCCCCTGGGCTGACCACACTCCCCTGCCCAGTCCCTCGCTGAGGAACTCTGCTCTGTGTCTCCTCTGTGTCTCCTCCATGTCCCCTCTGTGTCCCCCAGTGTCTCCTGCGTGACCCCTCAGTGTCTCCAGTGTCCTACCCTGGTCCCTGTGGCCTCTCTTCTCCATGGCCCCCCTGGCTCAGACCCTGGCACTGCTAGTAATGATCATGGCTACTGCGGCCATTGAGGTGATCCCCCTGGACATGGCCCAGGACTCCTTCGATGACCAGTACCAGGGCTGTGGCCCTGCCATGACAGCAGTATTACTGGCCCTCCACTGTTGCGAGTTCCAGCAGAACAAGAAGTTTGCTGAGGTTTGGGAAAAGGCCATGGCTAAGTGGCAGAGTCAGGGGTCCCCTACGTCCCCTCTGTCCCCAGAACAGCCCACTGCCATCATGGCCTTCACAACAGATGGCCTGTCCGATATGTTCAATAATGCCATGCGTGTGGCCGGGCGCTCCCGCCAGGAATACTGGGACAATTTCCACTTCAAAACGCTGCATTTCCTGCTGACCGACGCCCTGGCGACGCTGAGGGATGCTCAGAAAGGGCAGTGTCTCGATGTGTTCATGTGGGCGTGTGGGGTCCAACTCGACACGCAGCATGGTGACATCGTCCGGTTCGGTCAATTCATGTCATCGTTCCTGAGCAAACCTCTTGGCAAGTGCTCCAATCTCACGTTAGTCGAGCTGCGCACATGCCATGGTGTGGAAATCCAGTTTTTTACCGAACATCCGGGACAGCCGGTGGTGCTGATCCCACCCTTCGAGACCTTCAAGGTCATCCAAGTCACGCCGGAACAGGACAAGACACAGATGTCAGATTCAAGGGGGATGTGGGGTAGGTGGTTTGGGACTGCTGCACCTTCCCAGTCCCTCAGCCCGTGGGGAAGAGGAGAGGGCACCATGCTGCCGGGGGTTTGGGATAAAAGGAGGCTGTGCCCTCTGATACCTCGAGAGAGAAACCCCACGGGGATATGGCTGTGGAAAGTCTGTCTCTTTATTGAAATCAAGTTTCAAGACTGCTTTGTGGACACTTGACTTTTCATAGTGTGGCTTTTCCTCACATGCTGAAGGTGCTGGATAGAGCTTAAAGTCTGACAGGCAAAAATGATAAAAGGATGTAAAAGAATTTACACAGGGCAATAAACATGGCTTGAAGCAGTGGAGAAAGAGATGGAGGGAAGGGTTTTTTGACAAGTTCTGTACCACAGAAGGAGCAGCGCCTTGCGAAAGTGAAAGTTTGAGGTGAGGTCATGTGGGATATTGGGACACATTGAAATGGCTTCCTGATTACTGTTCAGGAATTCTCCAGGACAATAAGAGGATTTCCAGAGAGGGGCAGAGCCATGCCACCTATTTACAGCAAAAATGCTGTTTCTGTATTAGATAGGAAACCCATTTCAATAAATATTTATAATTATGCTGGATAAATTCTGTGTGGCAAAGTCCCCACGGAGCTGCAGGACCAGGAGAGATCTGCTGTGCGTCTGAGCTGATACTGAATCCCAGCTATCTGATACCTCCACTTCCATCAGGGAGTTCACTCCGGCCGATTTTGGTATCAGGTGCTGGGGGGACTCCAGGGACCCCTAGGTTTGGGGGGGGACATGTGATGGTGGGATTGGGATTGTGGTCCTGTGGGGACACTGAAGGAGTCACAGGACTGGGACTGGGGTCATGGGCTTTTGTGGGGGAAAATGAGCGGGGAGGCACAGAGATGGTGGGAGTGGGACTGGGGGCATGGGGGGGCCTAGGAGACACTGTGGGGGACAGAACGTGATTCCAGGCTTTGTGCTGAGATTCTGGGGTGACACTGAAGAAACTGGGGACTAAGAGTGGGAGTGGAGTCTGGAGACAGGCCGAGAGGGACAATGAGGGCCTCAGGGAGTGACCCCAGGATTTGGGTTGGGGTCCTATGGAGGCTGAGGGACTTGTCATCATGGGAGTAGGATTGGGCTTCTGGTGGGCTGTAATACTGTGGGATTGGGATTGGGGTCCCTGGGGGCTGGGAGACAGTGGGGAGGTATAAGTAATCCCAGGATTCAGGATCAGGGACCCCAGACGTGCCCAGGAGTCTGCTAGCCAGGAGTGCCTCCCTTCCCCCTGGTATGACCCCACTCTCCTGCCCAGTCCCTCACTGAGGAACTTTCCCCATGTCTCCTTCATGTCCCCTCTCTGTCCCTTCAGTGTCTCCAGTGTCCCACACTGGTCCCTGTGGCCTCTCCTCTCCATGGCGCCCCTGGCTCAGACCCTGGCACTGCTGGCAATGACCATGGCCACTGCGGCCATCAGGGTGATCCCCCTGGACATGGCCCAGGACTCCTTCGATGACCAGTACCAGGGCTGCAGCCCTGCCATGACAGCAGAATTACCGGCCCTCCACTCCTACGAGTTCCATCAGAACAAGAAGCTTGCCGAGGCTTGGGCAAGGGCAAAGGCCAAGTGGCAGAGTCGGGGGTCCCCTACATCCCCTCTGTCCCCAGAACAGGCCACTGCCATCATGACCTTGACAATGGGTGGCCTGTCCGATATGTTCAATGATGCTGTACGTGTGGCCGGGCGCTCCCGCCAGGAATATTGGTACAATTTCCCCTTCAAAATGCTGCATTTCCTGCTGACCGACGCCCTGGCGACGCTGAGGGATGCTCAGAAAGGGCAGTGTCTCGACGTGTTCCTGTGGATGTGTGGGACCCGGTTTGACACGCAGCATGGTGACATCATCCGGTTCGGTCAATTCAGGTCGGCGTTCCTGAGCAAACCAAGTGGGGAGTGCTCCGATCTCATGTTAGTCGAGCTGCACACGTGCCATGGCGTGGAAATCCAGTTTTTTACCGAACATCCAGGAGAGGGGGTGGTGCTGATCCCACCCTTTGAGACCTTCAAGGTCACCCAAGTCACCCGGGAACGGGACAAGACACAGATCCAGCTCCGCTCCACTGGGACCTTCAGCAACTACAACTGCGAGTGGCTGCGAGGTGATGCTAGAGGGGACAGCCTGGGGAGATGGGGACACCCACTGTGGCCATGGGGACACCCATGATAAGGCAGAGGGGACAGTGACACTCACTGGGGACTGGGACAGGGACAACCACTGTGTGTGGGGGGACAAGGATACCCTGGGCTGCGGACACCAAGTCTGGGGAGACTCATTGTGAGCACAGGGACAGGAACCCCCGTGACAGGGCACAGCGATAGGAACCCCCACTTCTGGGAGGGGACAGGGACAGGAACACCCATGCCAGGGGACAAGGGACAGGGACAGTGACAGGGACAGAGACAGGGACCCCCCAGAGTACCAACCCTGTACCACTCTGATAAAGGCAGTGCTGTGGGGATGGGCCCTGTGTGTGGAACACGGGCGGGCCAGGACCCCCCTATGGCACTCCCTGACTCCCCCTGGCTGCTGCCACCTCTAAGCCCACCGTGACTCCCCTGACCTCCCTGGCCCCTGTACCCCCCGTTCCTCCCTGACACCCTGACACCTGGCACCTCATGTCCCCATCACTCCTGCCACCCCTTAACCCCCATTTTGGCCATTCCTGACCCACTCACCCCCTCACTGGTCTCTCATTTTGCTCCTCTTTGTCGTCCAGGTGGGACCATTGCCAGGGTTTCCTTCCACCTCGGAGGGCTCCTCCTGACCACCACAGCCTTGGCAGTGGCCACTGGGATCCTCTGAGCCATGAGGCCACCAAGGTCAGCGAGGTCACTGTGGTCCCTGTGGCAACCATGGCTGCCATGATCACCACGACTCCCTGAGCCACAAGGCTGCCACAGCCACTGTGACCAGTGTGGCCACCAAGGCCATTGTGCAAAGCAATTCTATTAATCTATGCTACCATAACAATTCCATTAAATAAATCTGACAAAACTAGCAAAAAGTGCCAATTCCTAAGCAGGGCTCGATGTCATTCTTCAGAACGACAGTGGTGAGAATGTCTCTTTCTCTCAGCTTTGAGGAGAATCCTTGGGGAGCAAGGGAGGAAGGAAGGAAGGCCTTCCCAAGGGAGGAACCTCACATCCCAGCCTGGCCTTGGACACGGCCAGGGGTGGGCCAGCCACAGGTTCTCTGGACAGCCTGTGCCAAGGAATCACCGCCGCCAAAGGGAAGGATTTGATAGGAAGGATGGGTGGTGATGTCTTTGAAAAACGACTCAGAGGGTTGGGGGATGTTTAGGAGAAATTGTTGTCTGTGTCTTCAAAATTATTCTTGACATCTCTACAGACATGAAGTTTGTCATAGATCCTTGGTGGTTTGACCAGAAAGTCTGAAGTCCTGAATATTCAGCTAATGAGAGAAATGGGTCGTCACAAAATCTATTGACGAAGCCTGACAGCTTGAATTTCTGAACTTTGGGAGCAAATGACAGCCTCAAGGTGGTTCTGGCGTAGGTGGTTTGGGAGGGCTGTACCTTCCCAGTCCCTCAGCCAATGGGGAAAGAAAGAGGGCAACATGAGGCTGGGAGTTTGGGATAAAAGGAGGCTGCACATTCGAAAAGCTTGAGAGAGAAACCCCATGGAGGTGTGGCTGTGGAAACTCGGTCCCTTTATTGAAATCAAGTTTCGGGACTGTTTTGTGGACACTTGGCTTTTCGTAGTGTGGCTTTTCCTCACATGCTGAAGGTGCTGGATAGAGCTTAAAGTCTGACAGGCAAAAATGATAAAAGGATGTAAAAGTATTTATAGAGGACAATAAACATGGCTTGAAGCAGTGGAGAAGGAGGTAAAGGGAACTCCAATGGGATTTTTGTCAAGTTCTGTACCACAGAAGGAGCAGTGCCTTGCGAAAGTGAAAGTTTGAGGTGAGGTCATGTGGGATATTGGGACACTCATTGAAATGGCTTCCTGATTACTGTTCAGGAATTCTCCAGGACAATAAGAGGATTTCCAGAGAGGGGCAGAGCCATGCCACCTATTTACAGCAAAAATGCTGTTTCTGTATTAGATAGGAAACCCATTTAAATTTTGCTGGATAAATTCCATGTGGCAAAGTCCCCCTGAGCTGCAGGACCAGGAGAGATCTGCTATGAGTCTGAGCTGATAAGGAATTCCAGCTTTCAGACACCTCCAGTTCCATCGAGGAGTTCACTCCAGCTGATTTTGGTATCTGGGGCTGGAGGGAATCCAGGGGCCCCCTGGTGGGTGGGGGAGACATGTGATGGTGGGATTGGGATTGGGATTGCTATCCTGCGGGGACACTGGAGGAGTGACAGGACTGGGACTGGGGTCATGGGCTGCTCTGGGGGAAAATGAGGGGGGGGGGGCACAGGAGATGGTGGGAGTGGGATTGGGACCGGGAGACACTGTGGGGGACAGGACGTGATGCCCGGATTTGTGCTGAGGTTCTGGGGTGACACTGAAGAAATTGGGGACTGGGAGTGGGAGGGGAGTCTGGAGACAGGCTGAGGGGGACAATGAGGGCCTCAAGGAGTGACCCCAGGATTTGGGTTGGGGTCGTATGGGGGCTGAGGGACTTGTAGTCATGGGAGTAGGATTGGGTTTCTGGGGGCCATGGTACTGTGGGATTTGGATTGGGGTCCCTGGGGACTGGGGGAAGTTGGGGACACATAAGTAACCCCAGGATTCAGGATCAGGGACCCCAGACATGCCCAGGAATCTGCTAGCCAGGAATGCCTCCCTTCCCTCTGGGCTGACCACACTCCCCTGCCAAGTCCCTCACTGAGGAACTCTCCTCTGTGTCTCCTCTGTGTCCCCTCTGTGTCCCCCAGTGCCTCCCCCGTGTCCCCTCTGTGCCCCCACTTTTCCTCCCTGGTCCCTGTGGCTTCTCCCTGCCATGGCCCCCCTGGCACAGACCCTGGCACTGCTGGCCATGGCCACCACAGCTGTTGAGATGGTTCCCCTGGACATGGCCCAGGACTCCTTTGATGACCAGTACCAGGGCTGCGGCCCTGCCATGACCGCGGCGTTGCCGTCCCTCAACAGCTCCGAGTTCCAGAGGAACCCTCTCTTTGCCCAGGCCTGGCCTAAGGCCATAGCCAAGTGGCAGAGTCGGGGGTCCCCTCTGTCCTCTCTGTCGTCCCCAGCCCAGGCCATCGCCCTCATGGCCTACACGATGAATGACCTGTACGAGAATTTCAACCCAGCCGTGCGCACGGCTGGGCGCTCCCGCCAGGAATACCGGGACAACTTCCACTTCAAAACGCTGCATTTCCTGCTGACCCAGGCCCTGGTGACACTGAGGCATGCTCAGGGACGGCAGTGTCACAACGTTTACCGGGGGGTGGACGGAGTCCGGTTCAAGGCAAAGCAAGGTGACATTGTGCGGTTTGGTCAATTTACATCGGCTTCACAGAGTGAAGAAACTGCTATGAGATTCGGGATAGACACGGTGTTCCATGTGCACACGTGCCATGGTGTGGAAATCCGGGAATTCTCCAACTATCCCGGCGAGAAGGAGGTGCTGATCCCACCCTTTGAGACCTTCAAGGTCGTTGAAATCAGCGAGGAAGAGGACAGTGCATGGATCCAGCTCCACTCCACCGGGACCTTCAGCAACTACAACTGCGAGTGGCTGGGAGGTGACACCACAGGTGACAGTCTGGGGCGATGGGGACACCCACTGTGGCCTTGGGGACACACATAAGAAGGCACAGGGACAATGACAATCACTGGGGATGGGGGACAGGGACATAGCCACCCACTGTGTGGGTGGGACAAGGACACCAACTGCTGGGGACAAGGACAGGGATACCCAGTGCTGGGGACACTCACTGGGGTCCTGGGGGGACAGCAACACCCAGTGTGGGGGAGACCCACTGTGGACAGGGCACACCCATGACAGGGCACAGGCAGTGGGGGCACTCACTGAGAGTTTGGGGAAAGGGACAGTCCATGCTGGGGACACCAAGTTTGGGGCTACCCCCTGTGGACATGGGGACAGGAACGCCCATGACAGGGCACAGGGATGGGGACCCCAACATCTGGGAGGGGACATGGACAGGGACACCCTGCCAGGGGCCAACAGGGTCAGGGACAGAGACAGGGATGTCCCCATTCTAATCCTATCCCTTTCCACCAAATGCAGTGCTATGGGGATGGGCCCCGTGTTCTGGACGTGGGTGGTCCATGACCCCCCACAGCACTCCCTGAACCCCTGTCACCCCCCATGGCACCCTCTGACTCCCCTGACCCCTGTCACCCTTAAGCCCACCATGACCCTGCTGCCCTACCTAGCCCCTCTACCCCCCATATCCCCCACCCACAACACCCTCTCACCTGTCACCTCACGGCCCCCATCTCTCCTGCCACTCCTAACCCCCCATTATGGCTGTCCCAACCCCCTCATTGCCCGCATGATTCCCCTGACATCCCTCTCTTTGTCCCCCAGGTGGGAGCGTCCCCAGGGCTTCCTTCCACCTCGGAGGACTCCTCTTGACTACCACGGCCTTGGCAGTGGTCACCGGGATCCTCTGAGCCACAAGGCCACCAAGGCCTCCAAGGTCACTGTGGTCCCTGTGCTGACCATGGCCACCAAGATCACCACGACTCCCTGAGCCACAAGGCTGCCACAGCCACTGTGACCAGTGCGGCCACCAAGGCCATTGTGCAAAGCAATTCTATTAATCTATGCTACCATAAGAATTCCATTAAATAAATCTGACAAAGCCAGCAAAAAGTGCCAATTCCTAAGCAGGGCTTGATGTCATTCTCCAGAACAACAGTCGTAAGAACGTCTCCTTCCCTCAGTCTTGAAGAGAATCCTTGGGGAGCATCCCCTTCCCAAGGGAGGAACCTCACATACCTTTCATTTCCAGCAGGAACAGGGGAGAGGAATCTCTGTCTGAGAGGTGACTGGACATTCCCAGGATCACCTGATGGACTGACACGCCCAGCTCTGGTGCTTCAGCCTCAGTTGTCAGTTTGGGGTAGGGGATTTGGTCTGATTTCAGCCCAATTCAGCACCAAAATCAGCACCAGACCCCTCTCAATGCAGCCCCAATGGCCACAAATGGGGCATTGTCCCTGGGGCACATTCCAGGCAAAGCATTCTGCCACATCCTACACTTCAAGGTGACCTTAAAGGCTGGAACTTGGGAGGTTGAAGAGGGCAAGGGCAGGTCCTGTCCCTTTGGGAGGGACAGTCCTCAGTGCCAGTCCTGGCTGGGGGGGACCTGCTGGAGCAGCTCTGGAGAAGGACCTGGGCATGCTGGTGGGTGATCAGTGGAGGTGGCTGTGTGTCCCGGGGCCAGGAGGGATCCAAGGGGTGTCGGGAAAAGCAGGGCCAGGAGGTCAGGGAGTAATCGTGCCCCTCTGCCCTGCCCAGTGAGGCACATCAGGAGTGCTGTGTCCTGATCTGTCCAGTGCCATGTCCTGTTCTCGGTTGCTCTGGACTAAATCCTGTGCTCAGGGATGACGCTGTCTGAGCTGGGAGGTTGGGCCAGGTGCCCACTCTGGGTCCTTCCAGCCTGATCCATTCTGGGATTTGGGGATTCTGGAAGTTGCAGTTCGGGAATTGTCCACAGGAGGGCAGCAGTGAGCACAGGAAATCAGCGGCACTGCGCATGCGCCGCCCCCAGCTGCAGTTCCGGGTGCCACCAGCAGGCGGCAGCACGAGCTGCAGGCGCTGCCGAGCGCCCGCCCCATCCCGGCCCCGGGGCTCTGCAATGGTTTGGGATGGAGCGACCTTAAAGCCCGTGCGGTGCCAGCCCTGCCATGGGCAGGGACATCTTCCCCTGGGCCAGGCTGCTCCAGGGCCTGCCCAGCCTGGCCTTGGACAAGGCCAGAGATGGGGCAGCCCCAGCTTCTGTGGGCAACCTGTGCCAAGGAATCACCGCCGCCACAGGGAAGGATTTGATAGGAAGGATGGGTGGTGATGTCTTTGAAAAACGACTCAGAGGGTTGAGGGTGTTTAGGAGGAATCGTTTTCAGTGTCTTCAAAATGATTCTTGACATCTCTACAGACATGAAGTTTGTCACAGAACCCTGGTGGTTTGACCATAAAGTTTGAAGTCCTGAACCTTCGGCTAGTAAGAGAAGTGGGTCCCCACGAAGTCTATTCCATACTCCAGACAGCCTGAACTTCTGAACTTTGGGTGAAAATGTCAGGTTCAAGGGGGTTGCGGTGTAATTGGTTTGGGACCGCTGCACCTTCCCAGTCCCTCAGCCAGTGGGGAAGGGGAGAGGGCACCATGCTGCTGGGAATTTGGGATAAAAGGAGGCTGTGCCCTCTGATACCTCGAGAGAGAAACCCCACGGGGATATGGCTGTGGAAACTCTGTCCCTTTGTTGAAATCAAGTTTCAAGACTGCATTGTGGACACTTGGCTTTTCACAGTTTGGCTTTTCCTCCACACGCTGAAGGTGCTGGATAGAGCTTAAAGTCTGACAGGCAAAAATGATAAAAGGATGTAAAAGAATTTACACAGGACAATAAACGTGGCTCAAAGCAGAGGAGAATAAGATGAAGGGGAACTCCAGTGGGGTTTTTGACCTGAAACACAGAAGGGGCAGCGCCTGCCAAAGCGGAAGTTCAGGCGAACTCATCTGGAATATTGGCGACTTCAGCGAAAATTAATTCCAGATGATTTTTTAGCAATTCTCCATGAAAATAAAAGGGAGAGAGGCGCAGCCATGCTACATTTTTTTATGGGAAAAGTGCTGGGTTTCTATTAGCTAAGAAGCCCATTTTAATGAATATTTATCATTACAGTGGATAGAAGTGGCAAAGTCCCCCTGAGCTGCAGGACCAGGAGAGATCTGCTGTGAGTCTGAGCTGATAAAGAATTCCGGCTTTCTGAATACCTCTGGTTTCATCAGGGAGTTCACTTCAGCTGATTTCGGTATTGGGGCTGGGGGG